TTCAAAAAACCGCTCCACACGCTCCTCCTTCTCTTCATGCGCTGCGCTCGCTGTGGAAACAATCTGCTATCAAATCGATATCAAACCAAAATCTCCATTCATCCGCACAAACCGAAAAATAAAATCGAAAAAAAACGAGCAGACGCTTCAAGATGTTTGCCAAGCAGCTGCCCACAATGGCCGCCATTCAGAAACTAACCCACACTCAGACATCCGCAGTGGCAGCCACATCCTCCTCCTCAATAGCAGCAGCAGCAGCAGCGGCATCATCGACATCGCCATGGCCAACTGAGAACCATCCGTGTCCGTGTCCCTCGTTCAACTTGCATTAATCCATTCAGAACACAATGAAACATAATTTTTGCCCCTTGAAAAGTTGAATTCAAAACTGATTGTAAGAGAACTTTTAAGTGCTGGGAAGAGCCTAAAGCAAATGTCTTTATTTTACTTACATTTTAAAACCTCTTAAAGCACATTTTGAGAACCTATTCGAAGGGATTCCGTATCGCTTACCTGGCCCCTAGAAGTTCTCATTATTTATATCTTGTCTATCAATGTTACCAAGTCATTTTTAAAAACTAATTCCTATTACTTATGCGTATAATAAAGTCCCATAATTGGAAAATCTATTAATTGACTATCTATTAGTTTTCTATTTTGATTTGTAAGAGTGCCAAAGCCAATTAGAATGTTGTAGTTCTTTAGTAGTAGAAGTAGTAGTAGTAAATTATGTTCACTAGTCGACGATTGTAGAAATCCTGCTCTATTTATAAGTAACTCTCTCCGAAAATCACCTCTTTTCCGACCAAACATTAATCACAAACATTTCTGCTCTGCCAAACCAATTTACACTCGAAACCAAATAGGTGATGGTGCTGAATGTGTCCTCGCTGCTGAAGACTGTCAAGGCTGTGGAGGATGAGCACACGCGCGGAACGCGGGCCATGGAGGCCACCGTGGAAGCTATTTCCCAAGAGATTCGGGTAAGTTTTTAAAAGATATCGAAATGTATATCAATTATTAACACAATTTTCCTACCCTTACAGGCCATGCACACTCCCCCACCAGTGGGCAGCAATCAAGTGGGACCCGAGGACCTAATCCGTGTGACCATGAACGTGACGGCCGCTACTGCCAAGGCTGTGGCTGCTGGCACCTCCAATCTGCAGGCTGACATTGTGGCTGCCGCCAATCTGGGACGTAGAGCCATTTCTGACATGCTGATCGTTTGCCGTTCCGTCGCCTGGAACTGCGCCGAAACGGAGGAACTGAGAATGCGAACCCTGGAGGCAGGCACGGCAGTTGGAGAGTCTTATCGGGAACTGCTCAACGGCATCCTGCACAACTGCAGCGCCGATGATCGCATGCATTTGTCGCGTCGTGTGGCCAAGTGCGTCACCGATCTGGTGGCCATGGCCAGACTGCTCAAGGGCTCCGATTGGATCGATCCCGAGGATCCCACAGTAATAGCCGAGAACGAGCTGTTGGGCGCCGCTGCCTCCATCGATGCGGCGGCCAAGAAGCTGGCTTCGCTGCGTCCTCGTCGCCAGGCCGACGTCACGGTAGGTCTAGCTTATAAATCTTTAACTAAATATCTTATAAGTGGTGAATGATAACTAACTAATGCTAGTTTATAAACGGTGCTTGATCCCTAACTCCACGCTCTCAAAACGAACTAATTGATGGCTCCAGTGAGATATGTTTGATATTCTTGGTTGTTACATTCAAAAGTTCACCCAGGAATCAAACATATTATTACTGTGGCCTTCGCCAATCTACTAAACCTCTCGGCTCGAAATCTCAACTAAAACCCAACGCCTGGTGACTGTGTTATGCCTTGAAAGCTTTCCTGTTCCCATATATTTATTACATACTAATCTCTGCCTTTTCTGCCCACACACAGATCGAACTCGACGAGAACATGAAGTTTGACGAAATGATTTTGGAGGCTGCCAAGGGCATTATGGCCGCCTCAGCTGCCTTGGTGCGCGCTGCGAACGCTGCTCAGCGTGAGCTCATCGATCAAGGCAAGGTGGCACGTCGTCCTCTGACTAGCTCTGACGATGGCCAGTGGTCCGAGGGTCTCATCTCGGCCGCTCGTTTGGTAGCCGCCGCCACACACAGCCTGGTGGAAGCTGCCCAGAATTTGGTGCGCGGTGTGGGCACCGAAGAGATGCTTATCTCCACTGCCAAGCAGGTGGCTGCCTCAACGGCCCAGCTCCTGATTGCCTGCAAGGTGAAGTCCAACCCCAACTCAGAAGCCGGGCGACGTCTGCAGGCTGCCGGCAATGCAGTGATCAAGTCCACCGACAACTTGGTGCACTCTGCCCAACAGGGCTTGGAGGCCGAGGAGGAGCACTCCCTGAAGATTAACACATCTATGGTGGATGGTATGGCGCAGGAGATTAATGCCCGTTCCGCCGTGCTGCGCAAGGAGAAGGAGCTGGAGGAGGCGCGCCAGCGCTTGAAGCATGTGCGACAGGCGCAGCGATACGCAAAGAACGCCCAGGGCTTCACTACCGACGAAAGCGATACAGAGATTGCCTATGGAACGATTAACAGGAGCCAGAACAATGTATGAGAAACTTTTTATACTTTATCTCCTTTCATTTTTAGTTAAATTTTGCACCAGTGAATGAAATTGGCACTGAGATCGATGGCCAAATTGAGGCACCATTTTGTCTATGCTTTCCAGTAGAGTAATTCAGAGGGATCCTAACCTGGTGTGGGGCTGGCATAGCCAATCTAACACGTAACCGTCTAACCTCTCTTCTCTCTCTCTCTCCTAACCCCGTAACAATAACAGACTTTGGGTCGCAGCGGAGGAGGAGGCGTCTACTACGGTTCCGGCGAAGTGCCCAGCTCACCGAGCTACTACTCAGGCGGAAGCCAGCAGCAAAAGCATCACTACAGCTACGCCAGTCCGCAGCCCCAGCACTTCCACCACCCCGGAGCGGTGTCACCGCCGCCGTCCAACTATCCTGCAATGGATGATGCCAACGGAGACTTCCCTCCGCCGCCACCGCCGCTGTCTACGACCATTTCTAACATGCAAACCGCCACGTCTGGTCACAGTAGCTTCCGCCCTAATCCCAAGCTAACAGCCAATGCAGTGCCTCGTCCCTATCCGGGCAGCCCGGGCGGCAGCAACGGCCTAACTTCTGCACCCACCATTGGCGCCGCCACACCCACTAATACCAACTACCAGCATAGCTTTGAGTCGTCGTCCAGCATTAAAACGCAAAACTCATCTCCGCCGGCGGTGCCGCAGAAGCCGGTTAACCGGAATCTGGAGGCATGCGTGCAGGATCTGCATGACAAGACCTTTGGCCAAGGCGGTGTGGTGCAACTCACGGGCGGCAATGGCTATCCTGGACAGAACTATGAAGGCTACACGTCCAGGTAAGTTAGCTGAAAAGCTGTCTCCCTACCCTTGCTAATCTGTGCTCTGTATGTCCGCAGGTATGAGACGCGTAACTTCGACAAGGCGGCCAACAACAACACCACCACCACAACCAGCAGCAGCGATCTCGGTGTGGTCAAGCCCTTGGAGTCGAGCTTCTCGCAGATGACCCTCAACACCGATGGCGGAAAGATCAGCATCGTGGACCAGGGCTCGGAGCGACTCACCTCCATGACACAGCGCGTGATGGAGCGCAAGTCCTTCACGACTACGACGGAATCCCGTTCGGAAACCAAGACGGAGAAGCATAGTTTTCGACTGGAATAGAAGCCCGCCCTAGTTGCCTAAGTAAATGTTCTGGCAGGAGTCTGTCGGTGTTTGCCAAAAGTGCTTTTAACATTTACACCCCATACACACGAACATACTAATAGAAATAATTTAATATTAATTGTAATTTAGCCACTAGCGAACTACGTCTATATATGCTACCCCTACTATATAATCGCCTAATATTAACAACCCAATAATCGCTATCCGACTTTCTATGTCTTCTAAAATCTGTTGTATGTGTTTGTTTATCTGCCATTTAATTGCCAATACATCATATATCTCGATGAGCAAGCCGTAAACAGCAGTTTTTTATATAGTCAGGCGAGCCTTCTTAATCTAAACTGTAAAATCCAAGCGAAATTTTAAATTAACCCTTAATAATCGTATAACCTTTACAAAATTGGTACTTCACTTTCGTTGTTATTTCGATGCAATTTATTACTGTGCACTAAAAACATGATTTCTTTTTTCGTAATGCGTGTAACCTTAATATAAACAAAAGGTAGAAACCCCACACGCCGAACAGTCAAAATATCTATGTAAAACCCTTTCTATGTTCTAAAGTTGTGAATTCTGTTTGTTGTAATCATTATTATTTCTTATATCTTTGTATATACGTACATGTGCGAGTCGTGTATGCAGTTGCATATTTAAATTGTGTATTTTTTGTAAATTAATAAAAACAAAATAATATTTTAACAAGGCTGTTAAAAGTGTTTTGAATTTTGATCAAGAATTCAGATTAAGAAGGGCGGAAACTAAGACGAAATCATGTCATGTATAAATTTTTCCCCTTTCGGCACCAGATGAACATAAAAATCAGCAAGCAGACGAGTGGCTGATTCAATCCTCAAGTAACGGTTCCCAAAAGAGGGGAACTTAAAGAATTCTTCTGATTGGACAACTAAATTGACGGCCATTATTAAAAATTGCACAGAACCGTTATAAGCTAGCTCCAATGGAAGTCAACAGCTGATCGCACTGCACTGCTTGCTGGGTTACTGCCTGCTGTTTCTGTTCGCCTGGTACATATATAAGTCGTGGAATTATTAAATTTATCTAAATAAATGACAACAAATCCAACAACAATTATCGGTCAATTTAACGATTTTGCCTAATAATTTTTACAGATTTGTGATTTGTGTATCAGGTGCAAAGAAAATTCAGCAAGTAGTAAATCGTTCGTTAAATCGTTCTGAAGAAACGGAAAGCAGAGGAAAAGTTATTTTGTTTGAGCATTGAGAGAGTCAAAAAGCTAATCGCATTCTATATACATCGTAGTTTTTATTAAGGCACACACAACATAAAAGGATTTTATAAATCTTATTTATAATTAAGAAAATAAATGCAACATTTAGTCTGTCAGGTCGTAGAGTTTTTTCACAAAATTGCCACAGTTGTCATTCTATAAATGCGTTTCTGGTTCTGGATTAGAGCTGGGCTCCTTGCTCCTACTTGTACTCCTGGTTCAACTTGCGACCGATGAGCCAGCGCCTGATCTCCGAGGTGCCTGCTCCGATCTCGTACAGCTTGGCGTCCCGCAGGATGCGACCCGTTGGGTTCTCATTAATGTAGCCGTTGCCACCGAGAATCTGAATGGCATCCAACGCCACCTTAGTGGCCTTCTCGGCGGTGTAGAGAATGACTCCAGCGCAATCCTTGGAGCTGCGTGAGCCAGAGTCACAGGATCTGGCCACCGTGTAGAGGTAGCTGCGGCAGGCACTCAGCGTGGTGTACATGTCGGCCATCTTGCCCTGCAGCAGCTGGAACTCGCCGATAAGCTGGTTCATCTGCTTCCGCTGGTGGGCATAGTCAAAGGCCACGTCGCAGGCCGCTTGCATCAGACCAACGGGTCCGGCTGCGAGCACCAAGCGCTCAAAGTCCAATCCAGACATTAGTACATAGACGCCCTTGTTCTCCTGGCCCAGCACATTCTTGGCGGGCACCTTCAGATCCTGGAAGACCAGTTCACAGGTGCTGCTGCCACGCATGCCCAGCTTGTCCAGCTTCTGGGCCACACTGAAGCCCTCCCAGGCGGTCTCCACTATAAAAGCTGTGATACCGTGCCTGTCCGGCACTCCAGGACCACCGGTCTTGGCATAGACAATTAAAGTGTCGGCATCGGATCCGTTCGTAATCCAGAATTTCGATCCATTCAGCACATAGTAGTCGCCCTTGCGCTCGGCTCGCAGCTTCATGGACACCACATCGGATCCAGCTCCGGGTTCGGACATGGCCAGTCCTCCGACGTGCTCACCGCTGCACAGCTTTGGCAGGTACTTCTCCTTCTGCTCGGGAGTGCCGTTCTTGGTCAGCTGATTGATGCACAGGTTGGAGTGCGCTCCATAAGACAGAGCCACGCCACCAGCAGCTCTGAAAAATAAAGATGAATCTTGTTTTGAATGTGTTTTTTTGTTGTATTTCATTAATTAAATTAATATATCAGCCATATTTATTTGAGGCGAAATATTTATTTACTAATTTATTTCAAGCTTAGCTAAGTTGTATAGCTTACCGCGAGAATTCCTCCATGATGATGCAGTGATCGAGATAGCTGCCCCCAGTGCCACCAAAGTCTGGCTCCGCTGTGATGCCCAGGAAGCCAAGATCGCCCAGTTTCTTCCAGAAAGGACGCATGTCCCTATGAAATGAGAAAAGTTGTAATTATATTTTGCCCCTTACATGTCATAAATAAAATTCAAATATATATTTTAATGTAGAGAAAATAAAATAATAAATTCCATTTAAGATAAACCCAGAACATGGTTGTTAGGATCTTTTTATATCTCACTTGAAGTTATCCAGTTTGTCGATCTCCTTGGCCAGTGGAGCCAGTTCCTTCTGGAAGAAATTAAAGGCGACTTCCCTCAATTTCTGGCGATCCTCGTCCAGCCCGAACATGGCATCGTTGACGGGATAGTGGGCTAGGGTTCGGGTCCAGGACGAAGGACGATTGCCGTTCTGCAGGAGGGATCGGCATGACTTGGCCACAAATCGCAGAGCCATGTTGACGTTGTTCTAAGGGAGGAAGCAGAAATCTATTATCTAACCTCTGGTGATCAGCTGCTCCCACTCGCTATATCACCCTCATAACCAGCACTTTCCATCTCTAGATTTGGGTTCGGATTCTCGCTGGTTAGCCGATAGTTTTCGCTGTGGATTTAAACTGATATTTCCGTCTAAAAATATATATTTTGGAAGTTAAATAAGCTTTTTAAATATTGTAATTATAAAGTACTGTCTTATTATGCCGCCTCAATGTCCAGAACTCATTCTTCGAGTTGAGTATTCAAACATATTTTTAGTTTTTATTTAAAACCAAGTACAATTGTAATTGTAATTGTAATATATTATTTAATTGTAAATCTGTATTAATTCCACTTAAGTTTCGAACTTTAAATAGTTGAAATAAAATAAATTAAATAACATTGTCAGGTTCATTGATCAATCACTTTTTCTCCGATAATCAACACTGGCTGCCGCTCAATTTCAAAATTGAATTCAAAAGTGCCCGCCAAGTTGGGCAAAATAACCTTTGGAATCACAATGAGAACACTGCTGGCTAAAAGTAAGCTTCCCGCCCAAGGCAGACCATCAAAAGCAGCTGCTACTGGAGATGCACCTAGACGAAGGAGAGAGTGAGCAGTCCTTGCACTGGACTCCTGTAATAGAAGAGCTGAGAGTCCAGTGCGCATGACTCACCAACGGCAAGTGGACGGGTTGCCGGGAAGCCGGCAGTAACAACAACAATATAACCAGCCAGTGCAGGCGCAGGGATAAACATAAACAGAGCCAGGACGACGGTCTCAGTCTGGCTAGAGCTTCGGTCTAAATGGAATTAAAGAGGCGGCGGCAGAGACCAGGAGCAGCCATCGAGTCATCAGTAGCGCTGTGGTTGCCCATCGTGCGTTGTGCGTTGCCCGCGGAGCTCCGGATCCGGTCGTCGTCCTGCTGCTGGCCATATCGGATATCGGCTACGGATACGGAAGTGTGTGTTGCCCCCGGCGGAAGGCTGAAGTGATAATTAATTGATGGGCTTGGGAGAGGGACTAGAACTGGTACTGGTACTGGGACTGGTAATGGAACTGGCACTGGTACTGGAAGCGGCAAACATTTGATTTTAAGGGGCAGGTGTAACCCAAATAATTGAACAATTCGGCGGCAGGCAAATCGATAAGTGTCCCAGCGTAGTCATAAATAAGTCGTTGCTGTCGTCCTGCCAGCTGAAGGAGCGGACGGCTCACGTGTGTGCTGGGTTTGATTAATGGCCCCTGCGTTGTACGTTGCGTTGCCAAGGATTCGAGGCGGCAGCTCCTCCCCCCAATCGGCGTATCCTGTCAATCAACACGTCTCCATGAGGAGGCGCTTCCCGTAGGTAACCAACGCAACCAAGACGTTTCCTTGGATGCATCTCATTTAGCACGCTTCTCGATGTGTACTTCAAGCATTCTCATTAAAGTCTTACCATCCCACCTGCACCACATCATTATATTTTGGCCCCGCTAATGCCGTTATAATGACTGCCGCCTGCCGCTTCTTGGCTAATCAATCAGCGGCGCCGGCGATGGCGGTGGCCTGAACCTTTTGCAATTCGTATTGCACTCCCTTTATGTAACACAATCAACCCAACACGGAGCCACCGCGTTCGCACAGCAATTAAATGCCGCCCGGTCTATAAACAGATCTCACTGCCAGTGTCTCTCTCGGTGTGTTGTTGCGGCATTCTTGGGATGTTTGTTTGCTGGCTGGCTGCTGGGGCCCCTTAATGCCAAGTGGAATGAACTTGATGAGCAGCAGTTGCCACATTGGTGCTGCATTGCATCCACGCCGTGCAACACAAAGGCATCTCTGATGGACGTGGATGTAGTGCGGCAATTGAACCCGACTGCTGGATAGCTGGGATGATGGGAGGAGGACTGGGATGTTGATGCGATGCTGGGATGCTGGGATGCTGGGGGTTGCCTCCTCATAAACATGGCTGAAACACAAAACATGCAATCTGCCGGCTCAACAAAACTTGAACTTGTCGCGTCCACTGCACGAAACTTTTTGATGAACCCTCCGTTTTGTATAATTCAACTTTAATGCAGCCTGACAAGTGAGGTCATCCACTTGGCCGATTTAGGTTACTTTCATTAGTGGAATTACTGACTCGGTTTACGCCCAGTTAAATGACAATGTTGTAGCTTTACGGAGTTCCCAAAACTTAATTCATTTGCTTATATAAATATAAGAAAAGAAGCTAGTTTAGGGAAAACGAAGTTTCTATACCCTTGCAGGTTGCGATTGGATCATTCTAATCGATATAACTAAGCCTTATGGATATTATTTTAAAATTACAATTTAACGATTTTAAAATTTTGAAAATTTTAAAAAGCTTTTGTAAATTTTTTTTTAAATTGTCTATTGCTTTTCAATTCAAGTATTAATGACTTTTGGAGATCATTCAATATTGGACCTTTATATATCACTTACAATATGGACATTATCGGGAAATTGTTATTTTTAAATTCTTTTATTATAAAGAAATCAAAGTTTAAAAATAGCATATATGTGTTGAAAACTTCTGACTAAAATTCTAATATCCTGAAAGGGTATAAACAGCTATCACAATATCCTGCTTATATCAGGGATTAAAAATTTCCCTTAACATAATAATGTTTATTTAAATCAACATGGAATTTTAATAAAATAGAAACCGAAACTCAAAACAATTTGAAAATCTTAATTTTTCAAAAGTACATAGATGGAAATACTTTGAAATACTAGGAGCTATCAATATTTGTTTATGAAATTTAGCAATATAATTAAAATAACCCAATGCAACAAATGGTTAATAAAAAGCAAAAACTTCACAATGATCTCAATCATTTTCTGTTCAGGATTGGAATATTCACTTTCCATTTCCCCGAAACAACATTTCTCCATAAAGATCTGTAAAGATTGGCTGCTAATCGAACTTTTGCATGCCTGAATGGGCATTTTCTGGTCTCAAATGGAATCCCATCCACTTTTAATTTACATTTCCCATCAATCTGGCTGGCAATCAACCAACTCGATATGCGTATCTCTAAAAATACGCCGCAAAATAAAAATAATGTGTGTGATAAGCAAGTGCAGTTGGCCGGATAGCTTCTCCGTAAACACTAAGTATATACAACCATACAGTGTACGGCGGTCGTCGGCCAGAGAACACGGAACGGAACGGAGGCGACACAGAGCACCCGGCAGCAGTGACAAAAAACACAGTCCAAAAGTGAGACCAACTGAAAAGCTTTCGGACGTCCACAGGTCCACACCGCGACCACGGCATTCGTCAGTGAAGTGGGCGCAGGTTTAGTCGGCATTAGTCGCGCTCGCAACGGCACGGCAAACGATCCACGATCCACGATCGACGACATCGACATCGACATCGACGACAATACAAACAAACGACGACGCATGGACTCCGTGCGCGATTTTCATTCAGTTTTCAGTCAACTTCTCGCTCAGTTCTCGCCACATTCACATCTATACCCAGACCGGAGCCGGCCGAAAGCCCGGCCAATAGTGAACGAGAGCTAACACAACTGACCCAGCTCCGCAGTCCAGCGGCGGCGGTTAGCAGGAGAACTCACCATTATCCGCCATAATCGTTAGGGTTAGTTACCCCCGAAACCGTAACCGAAACCGATACCGAAACCTCGCGTTGTCACGTAATGCCCATTCGATTTAATTTCATTATTAATTTTTTTTGGAATATACCCTTTTAGTGTGTGCGACTCTTTTTCGGGGCTTATTCGGGCGGACGGGCAGTAAGGAATATGAAAAGTGACCGAGTGTGTGTTAAATTAAATCACCGCATTATAAATAACTTGGGAAAATTTCAAATCTAAAATATATTCTCATTGGCGGCCAGCTAGATATATATCTCCGAGCGCGACCGACCGCCCGCCAAGTAATCGAAGCGACAAAAAATACGCAAAGTTCGAAAAAGAAATAAGCGCGAGTGTGCGAGTGTGTTTGGCAAATGTCACTGGTGTGTGCTGTGCGTCACTGAAGATAAACCACGAGCACACATAAAATCGCAGCATATAGTATATACAAATATATATTATTCTATTTACGCGCGTGTCTTGTAGCCAACAAAAAGTGAATCTCAACAGCCACAAAATGGAGTCCAAGCGCTCAAAAAAAGGACGTAAAACTCGGCCGGGACAGGTCGCCCCGGCCGCCGACAATCCTCCTCAGCAGCAGCAGCAGCAGCAGCATCCTCATCATCCTTGGGACGAAGGTAGGCCCATCAAGTCCAGCTGTGGTCACTGCATCCGCGGTGCCCCACAAATTAGCCGCGCATTACGCATACGCCGCGTGGGCGGTGTGTCGCATCGCACATCGCCTGTAACGAATATAGAACAAAAGTTGTTCGTTCGTTCGTTCGTTTTGTCGGACAAGACACATGCCCTGGTATATAGCACATTACTTATGATTGCCTGCCAACTTGAACGGCAGCCAAAAAGTATGACAAGCTCTCTGTTTTGGCGCCGCAGTCGGACGGTCGCCCAATTATAAACCCGTATGCATATTTTTTGCCCAAGTCGCGAAATTCAGATCTTACAGAGACACAAACGCAGTCCAGCGGAAATCGGCAATCACATTGCAATGGCCCCTCTAATACCACACAATTGTCTAATGATTGGGGTAGTGCTACTTAAGCGGTTTGACATGCAAAATGCGAGGAGGAAATCCATGAACTTGGGGTCAGAATATAAATATTTTGCTAGATTTGCTAGATACGAAATTTGTTTCTAATGTATGAAGAGTATATACTCTTTTCAAATTGGTTTATTTAAAGTTTTAAATATCTAAAAAAGCATTATTATTTGTGTGAGTTTAATATTTTTCCTTTAATAACAACAGTTTTCTAAATTTACTAAACTTCCAGAACCTTTAATTTTTCAAAGAAAACTCCACAATTGATATATGTTCAAATGCTCTTGTAAAAATTATACAGAAATACAAAGTTGTAAACATTTTGCCCTTGCTCTAATGAAACATTTCAAGAAACACAATTTATTAACATTAAATACAAAAGAACAC